TCCAATGGATTCTGAAGGTCACCAGTGCACTTCCACAGAGAGACCATGACGCTGGTTCCAGTGGGTGCCAGGTACACGAGGCCCTTGATGTGGGTTTTTGTGTTTCTCCTGGTGTTTTCCACGATAACAATGTTGTACATCACCTTTCCTTCCAACGCTGTGCTCGAGAAGGTGAACCTGATGTATTTCTACGAGTATGAACCCATTTACAAGCAGAACTACCCGTTCACGCTGCGGGAGCGCTGGAAGTGCCGGGACATCCACCCCTTCCTGGTCCTCCTGGTGTCTTCCAGCCCGAAGGAGGTGAAGGCCAGGCAGGCCATCAGGATAACGTGGGGCTCTCGGAGCTCCTGGTGGGGCCACAGAGTGCTGACCCTGTTCTTGCTGGGGCAGGACACCCAGAGGGGGGACAACGTGGCAGAGCTGTCGGTGGAGGACGAGAGCATCCTCTATGGAGACATCATCCAGCAGGATTTCATGGACACCTACGACAACCTCACCCTGAAGACCATCATGGGGTTCCAATGGGTCTCCGAGTTCTGCCCCAGCACCAGGTTCCTCATGAAGACCGACAGTGATGTCTTCATCAACACCCCCAACCTGGTGAAGTTCCTGCTGCAGCGGAATTCCTCGGAGAACCTTTTCACCGGTTACCCCCTCATCAACAACTTTGCCTACAGGGGCTTTGACAAAACCAGATCCATCTCCTACCAGGAATATCCCTTCAGGCTGTACCCTCCGTACTGTGGTGGGATGGGCTATGTCCTGGATGGAAAGCTGGCCCTGAGGATTTATGACCTGATGAGCCACGTCAGACCCCTGAAATTTGAGGATGTTTACGTTGGAATTTGCTTAAATATTCTTCAAGTCAACGTCAGTGTTCCAGAAGATGCAGAACAGTTCTTCCTGTATAAAGTTAATTTTGATGTCTGTAAGTACAGGCATCTGATTGCAGTTCATGGCCTTGCACCGGGTGAACTCATCCAGTTTTGGCAGGATTTGTCATCCAGCAATTCCGTGACTTGCCTTTGATTCTGGATTAACACAAAAAACTTAAAAACCTTTTTGGTGTAAAAAAAAAAACATTTAAAGGGCAAGGAAATGCAAACCAAAAGCAGTTCTAGAGATGCCTTTGGAAACACCGCAGTGGCAGCATTTCCCTGGAACATCCCAGTAGTCTTAAATAAAAATACCAGGAATTCACAAAGCACTTTTCCATGTGGGTATCCCACACACTCAGGGTCCTTTGGAATGCTCAGGGTACTTTGGAATGCTCTGTCCCATCTGCCTCTGACACTTCCCCACGTGGTCAGCTACAGGGATTTCTGCCTGAATCTTCTGGAATGGCTGAAAAGTCACCAAGGAATAATGTTTATGCCAAGAAACCAGCTTTGAGGATGCTTCCCAAATTCCTGCCTGGATTGTTTTTATGGTTTTATGGCCACTCTCCATTATTTGTTCTCTGCCCAGCATGAAGCAAAACAACCTTCTTTCTGTGTCTCACCTCTGTGACCCTTCTGAGAGTGTCACACCTGGGTATTTAAATGTATCACCTCTGTCAGGCTTCCCAGAACATTCCAAGCCCGTGGGATCTGCAGGAGCTGATGGGAAATCCTGGGAAAGGGGGGCACTTTTTGTGTGTGTCTCTATAGACATAAAATAGAATGGCTTTGGTGTCTTTGACAGTGTTCCCAGACTCCTGGATGAGTTCACTGGTTATGAGACATCCCAAAACCACTGGGATAATCAACCCCCATATATAAACATCTCTCTGTGTGTACTGATGCATCCCAAGAGCTTTGGAAGCCACAGGGAAGATGAAAGCAGGATAATTTCTCCTGTGATTTATGTCTGCTTCTCAATTAATTTCCTTCCCCCACATTTGAAAACGCGAAAAAGGAAGAAACTCCAATATTTATATTTATATTTAAAGAAGACAAACTCTGCCCTGTGTGTAAAGACCGGTTTTTAATCACTTTATTCATATCAGCAAGGCCCAGTTTTCAGTAGTTTACACTTCTAAGAGACAACAATACAGAATTTTGCAATTGCATGAACATAATTAATCTGGACACATCCACTACACGGGGAGGAGACTACGGTGACATCCTGTCCATGGAGCAGCTCCCGTTCCCAGGGATTTTCCCTGGCAGAATTCCACAGTGTCTCCTAGAGACAAACCACAAGAGGTGCAGAAACCTCCAGGACCACGGGGAGGGGGGGAGGTTTCAGCAGTGCCTTCATTCCCTTGTGGTCAGGATTGAGTTTGGCTCTTTCCAACAGCTGCACGTGGGGTTCGGGTGGGAGCGGAGGACGGGTTATTTTTTTAGGTATAAAAGTGAGGTTTTGGGGACAACACTCTCTAGACAAGATGTCAGTGTTCTAAGGATGGATGGTAAGCTCAAAGTTTTTAAAAAATAAGAGTTTTTTTTTTTGTTAAATAGCTGAAGATACAGAATTGGGTAACTGAGGGAAGGATGCTCTTTGTATTTCCAGAAACAGGTACAACTACAGCTGTGCCACGGGTTTAGGATCTGGGGTTTGATTGTTCTCTGGGCTGATCCTGAGAGCTCTGTGAGAAATATTTGCCTTGTTCTATGATTGTTCTTACATCTCAGAACCCAAACCCCTCTGTTTTTTAGAAGCCTGCCACGTTACGTGGTCAGAAATAAATTATTTGCCACAAGAACACTGATACTACAGCACAGTTTTTATTGCTTCCCCCCCCAAAAAAAATGTAATTATGACTCTGCAGGCTTCAGAAAATAGATAAAGCAGAGAGTGGTCCTGGTGAGGGAGAAAGGAGGGTCACAGAGGACCAGAAACACACCCATCACCTGCCAGTATTTGGGGTTTCTGTGCCCCAAGTGCTGACACTGCTCACAGGTTACAAAGATTTGTACACAGTGATCAGTTTGAAATTAATTGTCATCTACAGTGACAGCAACTCTGCAACCAATCCCACTGGAAAACAGTCCTGGTTTTCTGAAAAAAAACCCTCCTTTCCAAATCTGGTTTGTGTTTGAGTCTGACCTTATTATTGCTTAAAAGGCTGGAAAATTCCTAACTGTAAAATTCCTAACTTAGCTCCTGTTTCTGCTTAAAGCCGTGATTAGGGAAGTTTTTAGCATGAGCAGCCATGCAAGAGGTGAAAAACCTTCAGACCATGAGCTAATCTAAGAATTGAAGTCAGGGGTGGGCCCAAATTTTATTGCATCTGCCTAAAATATTGTATTAAAAATGCCTAAAATTTTTCCAGATCCTAAGGTTTGTGGTTTTTTTTTCTCATGCAGTAAGTGGTTTAAAAGCTGTAGTAAATCAGAATTCCAGTAATTTTATAGGAAAATTGGGGTTTCTGACTTGAAAAGCCTAATGGGAATAATCCCTTGGGCAAAGATGTTTGGGAACTGCTGCTGGATGGGGAGCAAAGGGGGGTTCTGATGTGGAATTCCCTGCCTGGATGTTATTCCAGAGGAGTTAAAATGCTGCAATGCTCTGTGTGCATTTGGAACAAAGAATTCCAAATAAACCAGGCAGGGGCAGCATTCCCTGTGATCAGTATTCCCAGGACATTTGGCATATTTTCTGAAGTTTTGCCTCATGTTTCCCAGTCCCTGCTAAAGCATTTCAATGCAAGTAGCTCACAGCTGCCTGGATGCACAGCAAACAATGGAATTTTATCAGGTTTCTGTCAAATTGTCAAATTTCAACTAAAACCTGATTGAAGGATGTGCCACTGAGTTCCTGATCCATCTCCATCTGTTTCTTAGGGATGCTGAAGGAGTGTGGAGCTCCACAGTTCCCAAATTTCCCTTTGTGTCCAAGCAGCCTGTCCCACTCTGGTCACTTGTGAAGTATTGACAGTTTGCCCAAGGCAGAGGTGGCAGGGACAGGGATCCCAAGTTTTGGCAGGACAGGGATCTCATTCCAACCTGGGAGGGTGGGGAGGCCCTGGCACAGGTTGCCCAGAGAAGCTGTGGCTGCCCCTGGATCCCTGGAAGTGTCCAAGGCCAGGTTGGAGCAACCTGGGATTAGTGGAAGGTGTCCCTGCCCATGGCAGGGGATGGAACTTCATGATCTTAAGGTCCCTTCCAACCCAAACCATTCCAGGATCCAGGGATTTAATTAGAAACACAATATGGTTCTCTATTTCAAGTATAAACCCATAAAATAGCACTTTATACAGCCAGGTAGGAATTGTTCTGGGTTGGAAATTAAGCTTCAATCTTACAGGTTCAAAGTAATTTCTACATACCTCTAAGAACCTGCTGTTTCTTTTAATCCATTTTAAAAGAGGGAGTTCTTTTAATTTTAGGGAAGAAAACCCCACATTGTGTTGAGATGATTAAAGAATTATGAGGCCTTGGATTTTCGGGATGGTTATTTTTAGGTTCAGACTTTGCAGAACTGACTTTTGGGGAAGAATTTTGTTCCCTGGGAGAAGGGGCAGGAGCAGCTCATTGCAGGAAACACCAGCACTGAGGGGTTTGGGAATTGGTGCCTGGATGGTGTGTTGGCTGGTTGGTCCCACACACTTTGAAAGACATTTGAGGAAAAGGAGGTGGGTGCTTTAAAAATCCACCTTTTGAAAGCTGTTGGGAGCATTGACAGGCACTTAGCCCAGGAATTTGCCAAAACTGGGTATTTTGGAGATTATAACAGCATTTTCCCTAACCTGTGGAGCTTCTGCTGAAAGAAATTACGTGGCTATTTAAACATTTCATAACCTAGAAAGGAGTGAAGGACAAATGTTGTCTCAGGAATTGCTCCTGAGCCTCTTATTTATGGTTCTAGAAAGGCTTCACCTCCATCCATTTGCTTACCAGAGCACCCAGACCATCCTGGAGAACTGGAGACACCTGGAATGTTGAGTTACCTGAGGGAAAACTCTGGAACAGCTGCTTCCCTAAACCTTGTCTGGTCAGCACCACAGAAATAAAACTAATTAAACTTCAACTCAGCATTAACTCTGCAGATCTTTTTTTTTTTCTTTTTGCTGAGTCCTCAGGTTTAGAAAGGTCATTTATGAATATATGGAGCACAGCAAGGGGCAGCAGCTCCGGGCTCTGCAGTTGCCAAACTCCAGCAGAACATTCTCAACTGTAAACTTGGAATTTTGTACAGAGGCCTAAAAACCTACTTTGGGAAATGAAAGGCTGGTAATTTGGTTTTTTTTTTTCTGTAGTATAATCACTCACTAAATGTTTTTCTGCATAAAACAAGTATCAGCTACATTAGCAATATATCCATATTATTTAAAGCAGGGCTGTCCTGTATCCTGAGAGGCAGCTGGACACAAAATCCCTTATTTTCAGGCTGTGGTGTTGGTGTTTCTGCAGCAAACACTGTTCAGGCTGGTGCAGCACTTCAGTTCTAACTTCTGGATTCGAAAACCTTCCCAATATCTTACTTTTACCTCTGTAAAATGGTTTAACTCTGTAAGAACAGCAGCAGCACCCACAGTCAGTGGACAGCCCATGATGCTGGATGGCATTTGCCTTATTTATATTTATATTAATCTGGAGGATCTATCAGTAAAACTGGCTCATTCGTGTCAAATTGGGTATTTTTAGCCATTTTAGGAGTCCAGGTGGTGCCACCATCCCAGTGTCACCTGTGCCACCCCTCCCTGTGGGATGAGATCCCTGTGCCTGGTGCTGGATGGTGCAACAGGAGAAGAAGTGGGATGGGTTTGGTGTGAAATAAAACGGTGTCTCCTGCCAGCCCTGAGGTGAGCAACGAATTCCTGACTCCAGCTCGGGAGACAAGGGACAGGGGGGACTTTAAATCCCTCCCGTTTGCCACAGGGGCTGAGAGAGCCGCTCTGGAATTGCAGGGAATGCTGCGGCGTTCCCATTCCCAGGGCGGGCTCAGGCCACTAGACGGAGCCCCAGTGCCACCAACCCCAGCCCCGGAGGGACAAGCAGGGAAAGTCCCAGCCCTTCCAGGAATTCTAGGAAGGATCAGCCTGTCTGAACCCCCCCCAGTGTGTAATCAGAGTGGTGAACTCCGTGGCAATCCATGATCCCAATCCCGATCGCTGAACATTAAAATGTCCCACGTGAGTTAACGGGGAGCTTGTGACATCCCTGGGAACAGCCCCAATTCCTTAAGCACTGGACCAGCTGAACTAATGAACAAGGTACATTTTGTCAACATTTGACCACAGGAAAGATGCTCTTTGGCAGCAACTCAATCCCTCAGTTCTGTGCCACGGGAGGCTCTTCCCGAGGGAACAGATGTCACCAACGGAGCCACTCGGGCTCGGGCTACAAAAAACTTCCATGGCAAGAGGAGCTCCCAGCTGTGTTCTGGCCACTGCCACCACGAGGCAGCTCTTTTTTTTTGGAGAGGTGCCCAGGCAGGAGAGCAGCAGGGAGGAACCCCTTCTGCCACGGCGGATATTTCTGGCTACAGCACCTGGCAACCCTTCCCAGCTGGAGGATGGAGTGTTAAGGCAGTGGGAGAACCCTGGATTGTTCAGGTTGCATCAGCAAAAGGTACATTACTCACCCCTGTCGTCCCACAGCTGTGTCACGACAGAATTTGGCACAAATCAGCAAAGTTCTACATGTCTGGGTTTGGGTGAAAAGCTTTGCAGGCTTGGCAGCAGGGAGGACAGGCAGGCACAGAGGTGGAAGAGCACACAAAGCCTCTCACCTCCTCCAGCTTCACACCTAAAGCAGCTGACACTCTTTTTTTAAAGTAATAAAAGCCAAAGTCACCAGGCTCAACAGAGATGATTGGCCTGGATGGCCAGGACAGTGCTGAGGGAGGGGGAGAGGAGGCTGCAGAGGAAGCTGAAGGTGCTCCAGCAGCTCTTGCTGCAGCTGCAGACACTTGAAGGTTGGAGCAGGGCTGATTGGTGCCTGCCTGGAGGGGCTGGGAGTGACAGAGGGGATGATCCTGGAATAAACATCCAGGCAAACCCCTTCTGTACTGCACTGCACTGTTTTCCTAAATCCTGTGAGCAGGGCTTGCTTCCAGAGTGAGCCGCCCTCCCACTGCTCCTCATGGCTGGGAATTCCTGCCACCTTGTTTTCCTGTCTGTCACGAGGGCTGGAGCACAGTCAGCACAGTCTGGAGAAGGTCATGGATCCCTCAGGGATGCTCTGGAGAAGGTCACAGATCCCTCAGGGATGCTCAGGAAAAGGTCCTGGATCTCTCAGGGATTCTCACACACCTCGGGAGTGGGAGCTGCAGGAGGCTCAGTGCAGCCAGCAGCTTTCACTCCAGTGCTTTCAATCTACTACGTTTTTTTGGGAGCTGACCATCATTCCAGTTCCAACTCCCCCAGTTCCCGTGAAGGTGATGCCTCTGCTACACAAACATCCCTCTCCTTTGGAGCTGCTGGGTCGGATTCTCCTTCTCCCTGGGCAGCTCCCCAGGCTGTGCCCTCCAAAGGAGAGCTGGTGCAATGGAACATCTCCTGTGAAGGACACAGGAAAGGCTCTGCCTGGAGCTCTGACACTGCTGCTGTGCCATTCCTGGCTCCAGGACTGAGCATTCCCAGGGAAACACCACACAAGGTTTGCATTTCCCAGCCTTCTGACCTCAAACACCTTCTCAAAGTAAAACAACTGAAGTGCTCTGCAGTTTTTAACGTTTCCTGGGAGCTGCTCAGTTGAACTGCCAAGCTGCATTGCCAAGTCACTGCATGCACTGCCCAAGGGATTAAAAAAGTTGGGA